ATCAGTTACCATGGAGACCTGGCAGGTTAAAAGAGAGACACCTCCATGACACTGAAAAGTCTGGCTTTAAGCTCAACACACCTGCTGACCCACTGATCATCTGGCTTCGTAGTACAGCCCTCTGGTGAATAAACAGGTAAACACACCTGAGCGTCAGTCCTACAGCTGTTCATGCAGATGTTTCTTAGAATGTTTCACTGCTGCAGTTTTATTTCTGTATGTTAAAATAAAAATGCAAATTTTAATATTGCATTTTCTTTTTCATCCTTTAGATTTCAGTCCTGGATTATTTGTTGACATGTTTGGTAACAGCATGTGCTTTTATCTTTTTGTTTCTTATCATGCCATGAGTACCACGTATATTCACATGTGGCTGAAAACATGTTATTCACCAGAGTGGCAGACTCGTCTGTGTGAGCAGACATACAGTTTTATTTCTGCTGTAAACAAACATCCGGGACACTTTAATATTCATGAAACACTGATTTAAATAAGAAGATATTGACTGAAAATGCAAATCACTTCTCGTTTAGTTTTATTTCATCACTAATTGAACATTTTCAGCATGATCTCAGTAAATAAAGGTTCCGTCTCCTTGAACCAACTCATTCGTCTTTTTTTGAACCACCAGAGAACCAGAACATGTTTGATCTGAAGCAGGAACGTTTCTCTTCTATCCACGTCCATCTTCATCTGGAAAACAGAAACCAGAGCTCCGTCAGAAACACTGTGAACACAGAGCAGTGCAGCGCCACAAAGCTTCCTCCTGAAACAAGCCGCAGGAAACTTTGGTTCCCTGAACACACCAAACAAGTTTAACCTGCTGAACCAGAACACATCAGAACTCTGGTTCAATTCAATTCAATTCAGTTTTATTTGTATAGCACATATTTACAACAACAGTCATCTCATAGCGCTTCACAGAGACAGAAACACCCAACAATCCAGAACATCTGGATTCTCTATAAGCTTCAGCAGTCTGCTGGTGGGAAGGAACCGAAAACCCCCACAGGGGAAAAAACCTCCGACAGAACCAGGCTCAGGGAGGGACGGCCATCTGCCTCCACCGGTTGGGTGGATGCTGGTGCTGGAAACACCGACAGTCACGACTTCAGTCAGTTTACAACTGAAACGGACACATCTCAGAGAAGTCGCCATGGTAACCAGATAATGACCCACCCACTGACAGTTGCTATGGTAACCAGGTATTCAGTGACGAGTTTCTACATAAATTTACATAAACAATTGACACAAGAGCACACACACACACACACACACACACACACACACAGGTGTCGTCACCTTGTGCAGGTGGATCAGGTGAAGCTTCAGGAAGATCTTCTCCTTTCAGCAAATGATCCAGAGCAACGTCCTCCGGATACACTGGAGGGAGATCAGAGAGAGTCACTGCTGCTGCACACACACACACATACACACACACACACACACATACACACACACACACACACACACAAGCACAACACTGACCTGCAGCGTTGTCATGGTGACCATCAGTCTTCGCTGTCAGTCCAACCACCAGGACCAGCAGCAGAACCAGAACCGGAGCGTTCATCTCTACAGACAGAACACCTGAACACCTGATGAACACCTGATGAACACCTGATGAACACCTGATGAACACCTGATGAACACCTGAGCCGTTCTGTGACTCTGCAGGTTGGTCTTGTTCTTGTCTGAAACTTGTGAAGAATCTGATCCGGTCAGTTTCTAAAAATAACCGACGTGACGCTGAAACAGAACCATTTGAGGCGTGTCAGCGCCAAGAGACGTGAACCGATCACAACAACAAGCGGGGGAAGGGCAGCGCTTAACATCCACCTGGTAGAGCTGCAAAACAGGGTATTATATATTATTATATTATATATTATTATATATTGTTATATTATATTATATTATAATATAATAATAATCCCACAACTGTGACACCAAAACAAACAAATATTTTGAACATGTTTATTTTATTTTATTTTTTTAATTTTTATCTTTTTGGCCTTTTTGCCTTTTTTGGATAGGACAGTTGAAAGAGAGACAGGAAAGTGGAGGAGGGGAAGCAGCACAGGGCCATGAGCGGGATTCGAACCCACGGCCGCTGCATGGGAGACTACAGCCCCGGTACCTGGTCACCAGCTCAACCAGGTGAGCTACAGCCCCGGTACCTGGTCACCAGCTCAACCAGGTGAGCTACAGCGGCGCCCCTGAACATGTTTATTTTTACATGTGAAAAACAAGTGAATTTATTATTATTTAATTATATAAATTAATGAACTTAAATGACAATTAAATAAACCATTGTATAATTCAATCATTGAAATGTTGGCATCTATAATTACCTCTATCATATATATATATATGTGTGTGTGTGT